AAAACTTATTTGACGGGAAAATCACCGTTCCCATATCTGGATGTGTTTGTAGAGTCTGTTGCTTCAATTGGAAATATACCAGGTGACACCCGCGACTTTCAGCATTAGAGCAGACAAACATGAACGACTTTTATTTCCTCTTCTCTTCACCCTTTTCTTTTTCCATTCACATGCGTGCCTTGTTGAATAAATTGGACTGTGCTTGCATATGAATAGTTTGTTCCTTTTTATTTTCTGTGTTTTATGTTGTTCGTGTGTATATATTGTAATTACTTGCTGCAATTATCTTTATATTTCTTCATAGCAGGAAGTAAGATAAAGGCATTAGTATATGACTAATTTAAGTGCCCATTCCTTCATGTTACAGTTTTGCCAGAACACCTTGTAAATTGTGAATGGGCCTCCCTCTCTTTCTAGTCTTTGTTTTAAAAATTAGATAGGAGAGAGAGCTTTCAGGGGGTATTTACTAGGTCTGCACCATTATTTTGATTGGCTACTGATTTTGACTGTTATCAGAGTACTAGTTGCTTCTCTCTCTTTTCTTTTGTACTTTGATGGGTCATTTGGTTCATGGACAAGTTATAGAAAGATTAAAATGTATGAGTATTATTATATGGTGAATTATAACCACTTGATAATTGTATTTTTTAGGAAATGTTTGGTTCTTTGTATTAACATTTAGGTATGATGTGCAATCATCTACAACGTCTGTTTGGTTTGAAATGAAAATGCAGATGCCAATCATACCCTTGGCCTAAATAAAAAGAAAAAATCCAATCTAATTTTGGATTATATTAAGATGTGAACTACTTTTCTGTAACATAATCACATATTTTATGAGATATATAATTTCTTTTACTATTTTAGATAATGAACACTTCTAGAAGGAAAACTGAAATGAGGTATAATAGATGAAATAGTTCTTTTGTAATTTTTAACCTGAAATTTATTTTGACCTCTTGTATTATTATTCCATATGAATTTCAGCATAAAATGATGCACTAATTTCAACATGACGAATGCAAGATTATCTCAATACATCGATTAAGGGGGGAACAAAACGTTGTCTTTTAATGCATAATTTAAAACTGACATATGGAGCATGTTTCACTCGATTTTTGGACTTAGCTGGGTGATGCCATGCCATGTAGTGTTAAAGATGCATATGAAAGCTGGAGTGCATGAAGTGTTGGTAAATCCATCAGGTTTATCTGGAGAATGGTATCTACCTCATTTTTTTGGCCTTTTTGGACAAAAAGGAATCATAGATGCTTTAATGGTTTTTCAACTCCATTAAAGTTGAAATATGAAGAATTGCCCAACCAACGAAACAGTCCTCCTACATTGGCATACATAGTTTCGGGTGCTTGACACTTGTACAAATGCCTTCTTGGTTTACCAAACACTAGTTCTAAAACATATATTAACATACGACTCATTGGGATCATTTCGACATACTCTTGATGGCTTTGTCAACATCCCGTGAACTCCAACTTGATGGCTTATCCCTAACAGAGAAAGGCATGACCCAGGAAAGACCAAAAAAGCAACAAAACATATTCCAGAGGTCTGAGGCCGATGGGCAGTGCAGTAGCAAGTGGTTGACACTTTTTGTGTGCTTGTGGCAGAAATAGCATCGTTAGCAAGTCAGAATTTCCTTTTGGAGAGATTATTCCGTGTGAGGCATGAGTTATGTAGTGCAGTCACATTGCATTAACCTCTGTGGGATCAATTCTTATTCATACCCATAGCATTATCAAATAGGTATCATTCTGACATTCGTGACATTAGATATTTCCATAAGAGAGATGTATGAACTTGACATGGAGGTCTGGTAAGTGTATAAAACAATTGTAAGACCAATAACATTATACGAGAGTGAATATTGGGCCTTTAAGGTCCAACATATCCACAAGATGAGTGTTGCAAAAATATAAATGTTAAGGTAAGTGTATGATTAAAAATGCACAAGTAAAGTTACTGCTTAAAGATGAAATGATAGAGGGTCATTTGACGTGGTTTAGTCATTTTTTATGTAGACCTGTGGATACACCAATCTGTGGTGATATCGGAATGATTGAAGATGTTCAAAAACGGAGACAAGATAGCTCTAAAATAACATAGAAGTTGTCACGAAAGACCTACAATAAAAGAAAGTTGACTCGAAAAACCTACAATATCTTAAAATCATTACAAATTTAGTGAATTTGAACACAATGAAATAAAAAGATTTATGTAGGCATTATTAACTAGTCGGGTTTAAGTCTTTAGTCATGCTGGTAAACTTACATTAGGTCCAACTTCTAAGAGTTTTTTAAATCTTGTTACGTATTTGTATTTCTTTGGAAAATATAGATAACCTGTTAGAGAGCCTAAATTTGAATGAAATGGGTTCAGAAGGAACAATACTGAAATGAGGATTCATATAGCCAAGACCAACTAGCTTTGGATTGAACGCTAGTAGTTGTTGCTCTGAACTACCTGTGTGCCTTTCTGTGCCATGACTGTCTTCATTGTTTTGATGCTTGGATGTCAAAGATAATGTTCTAGTTCCAGTTTTCTACTAGTCAATGCTTAAAAGCTTTGGCAGTCTACGTGTGTCTTGAGCATGGAATCAAGGATTACTGCTTACTTTCTTTCTATTAATTTCTTCGCAGGAAAAATCCGAAGTTGGTATTGGTTCTCTGAGTATGCATTGATGGTTTACAGCATGTCTAGGAATAGATTCTGTGAAAGAATTGGCAGACAACATAAAAGCAATCATGGTAATGCATCACCAATATTACTTTTGCAAGTAAAAAACTTTTGGTAGTGGTCACATCTGTTTGATCTCGCGATCTCCACTCTTATATTTCTCATCCAAGGTCACCTTGCAGGGACATGTTTCCATTTTCTCTATTGGTTACATCAGATATAGTCGTGCTCGGAGTATCTTTTACTGATTATTTAGATTCTGTGCGATGATATGCTTTTTTTTAATGATGCCCCTCACATATGGTGTCAGTTATGTACGTAGTTGATCTGCAAAGGGGTGCTTATTATCAGAAGTGCTATGATCCTGATTGCAGAGGTAAATAATGGTCTTGTTTCATTCATTAGTTGAACTTTTTGGCTAAAGAATGATGACTTGTAGCCTTTAATGATGTTAAAAGGCTATCGATCTCCCTTACGACCTGTCCCTGATAATGTTATACCTCATTCATCCATTTCCTTCAATCTGCCTGGACATAATATGGACGAGGAGCAGCCAACTGTAACCAGTGACACAAGTATTTTCAGCAGCTGCAAGAAAGAATGGTGGCTTGAAGCTGTAAGAGTTGCAGACAGCATTGAGAATGTACAGAAAGCATTGGATCTTACTGAGGTTGTTTATCTTCACTCCAGCTTCTTTTGAATATTTTTCAAATATACTTGACTTGTTGTTGTAATAGTAGCTGTCCCACAAAGGTGAGTTTTCATCATATGCTTAGATATATCATGAATCTCAGATCTTGGGGAAAATTGATATGATAGGATCTAAATGAGCAAAACCCAAACTTTAGGTGATACTGAGGCGCAGTAATTGAGCAATAAAGGGTTATGTGTTTTCTCCCGTTCAGTTTTAGTTCCCTTTTACTTCCTTTTGTTTTTGTAAATAGACAATATTGCAGTTTAGCTGTTTGCAGATCGTTAGTTGTTTGCCTGTGTTAGAACAGAAGTAAGACCTTTGCAAGTTAACTTGCTAGTTGTAGGATTTATCAATATGGATACAACTGTTGTATATACATTGTTAGCTGAAACAAGAACTTATCTCTTCCTCTTTTACGCGAACTAGATGAATCTGACTAGCTTCTTCATTTTGTTACTGAAAGCAGGAGGAAACATGTGAAGAAGATGAGTGGTGGATGGCTGTCGAAGAGACTGCATACCAGATCGAGCTATCGTATTTTGGAAAAGCCTAGCCATTTCAGCCCTGGCAAAATGCTCAACTTGTAAAACTAGCCAGGTCCAACTAGTTGGTGCAAACCAGTGCATGGTGGAATGCTACATTCCAATTTCCAAGTCTATTTAGCTATGCTAATGGTTTGGGTAAAAATCGATACAAATCGACTAAATAAATCAAATTTATTTTGGTTTAATTTTGGCGTAGTTGAATTTTTTTTGAAGAAATGAAAGGGAAAGGAGACGTTTGATGAATAAAATTGGGCCTAGCTACAGTTAGGTGATGTAAGATGGATTTGTAAGTATGCTGTTGGATATTTTGGTGTGTAGCTAATTAAACAGTAGATGCACGTGAAAGATAATTAGTTAAAGAAGATGGTACTTTTCATTTCCGCATAATTGAGAGTAGGAAGGTTAAACTATTTAATGTTCAACGTGAAACAAAATTATATATTTAGAAATTATATTGAAATTACTATTCTTTTTAGGAAGTTTAGAGAAAATGACAAATATCTATATTTAGTAATAGATTATTCTCTCTGTCGAGAATATTTTAATTTCAGTTTTTTACATGACATGTTTAAGGTCACAAGATCAAAAGGATAATTTTGCATATTCAATCTAATTTTAATTTATGATCACAATATACAAAAGTCTTCTTTATACTCTTAAACTCCGTATCAAATTAGATAATTCTTTGTAAAATGGAGAGAGTAAGTATTAATTTTTCTCTTAATAAAATGATTAATTTGACTATCCAATTAAACAATTTCGTTTTTCCTATCTGAAAATGCTATATTTGTTGGTCGGTTTAGTTTAATCATTGATTTGGCTATTCATTGCCAAACCAAGGAGCAAGTTAGTGACTTGGTCATGATTCCCCTTTTTTTCTTTTTGATATTCGAGCTAAAAAATAATTAAAGGGGAACAATGAAATTTTTCAATGTCCAATATTTATATTTAAATTTAATTGAATTTGAACCAGTTGAAGAATAAAACACTACTAAAAAGGCCTAAAAAGGTGATTGGAGAAAATTAAAAAAGATAACAAGCACAACGATATGAATGGAGGGCAGCGGTTCTCACCAAACTCATAAATCAATTGAACACCAAAAACATGAATGTACAGCTGCAAACCAAAAACTTAAAAAAAAAAAAAAGTAACAATAAAACAAAACAAAAGAAAGAAAAAAAAGCAATATATTACTTTTTTTCTTTCTTTATTACGTACAAAAAAGGCAAATCAATTTCTAGACCCAACATAAATTCAAACAACGTACAAATTATCAATTTAGAACTTAAAAATCGCTCGATAAAGGTGCATGTTCGTGGTTCATGAACACATTGCTATAGATAAGACCAGCTAACCCACCGCCAACAAGTGGTCCAACCCAATAAATCCAAATACCAGCAAAGTTTCCACTAACCACAGCGGGTCCAAATGAACGGGCTGGGTTCATTGAACCTCCAGAGAACGGGCCTGCAGCTAAAATATTAGCACCAACAATGAAACCGATCGCTATGGGTGCAATGGTACCCAATGAACCCTTCTTCGGGTCAGCTGCTGTGGCGTACACTGTGTACACCAAAGCAAATGTAATGATTATTTCCATCACCACTCCTTCGGCAGCTCCTACTCCAGCAGCCACACCGTGGATCGGAACCGCCTGATTAATCATTAAAAAATTTACAATTTTGTAACAATGTATACCACATAAATTTCGATTCAGCAAAATACAGAACTTACCATTCCTCCAGTCACAACTTTGAGAAGGTAACAGCCAACAATTGCACCCAAAAGTTGAGCAATCCAGTAAAATAGACCGGTGAGGAGGGTGATTTGGCCACCGAGAGCCAATCCGAATGTGACGGCAGGGTTGACGTGACCACCGGAGATATTAGCAGCAATGGCAACAGCCACGAACAGTGCGAATCCATGGCAAACTGCAACAGCTACTAGCCCAGACGGATCAAGAGCAGCATCAGCTGTCACCTTGTCTGCAATTGATACGTTACAAAATTTTGAAACCAGAGACGAATTCAAAATTTATAACTGACCAAAGTAACAATGTGGACTTAAAGGGTAAACCGTACGAATTTAATATCGTCACCTAAAAAGCAACTATAGTTAACTATGCATATATTAACTGAAATTAGCAATAACTTAATGTTACTATTAGTGGCGGACTAGAATTTTTAACAAGGAGATTCAAAATTTGAAGAATTAAACACAGGAATTAACTAAATAACTTTAATCATGTATAAAAAATATTATTTTTCAGCGAAGGGTGATGAAACCCAGCTAACACAAGGCTAGCTCCGCTCCTGGTTATGATACGCTAAAATACGGTGATAATATAATATTACAAGTGTGTAAATTAAGGAGGAAGATTGAGTTTTATTAACTGTAAGCAATAGCTGAACCAACTCCGGCGAAGACAAAGAGCAAAGTAGAGATGAATTCAGCAATGTAGGCCTTAATAGACCCTAAGCTGAATGAATCATCGAATCGTCCAAAAGCTATGCAAGGCATTTTTTAAATTTATAACAAAAAAAAAAATTTATAGTAAAATAAACACTAAGAAAATGCTTGCTTGCTCTCAAATGACAATATATAGAAGCTCTTTCATTGTCACATATTTATACTAGGAAATACACAAATATAATATAAAGTTTTATTTAATAAATATAATTTCTTTTTTTGTTTTTCACTCCTCCTCACGTAGTTCAGATAAGGGAATAATTGCATATGTGGCAACACCTATCCAATCAATTTTTTTTTTTGTAACAAATAATATTCCAAGCTGGCATTAACATGTTTTTAATAGAAGTGTCTGGAAGATAGGCAATAATAATAATAATATATGCATGTGAAATGTAGGTCCAATGTGATGGAAAAGTAATGAGTAGAAAATGGAGTTGATAGGGGGGAAATTGGGTAAATAATAAATGGACAAAAAAATTACCCAGAAAGTTAAGAAAATTATAATATTTTTTTATTTTTAATTAAAAAATATTAAAGTTAAAAAGATAAAATAAATAGAAAAAATATTATTCTTATTAAATTTTTTTGACCAAAAAAAATTTTAGGAGCAAATTTATTAATGGAAGGATTGGTCCACAAAGTGCGCCTGACCGACCATGAACAAAGAGAATGCTAGAATGGGGTTGTTTGATGTGGCCTTTTGGATTTATTTAAATTCTGTGGATAAGAATTGAGCTGCCCTTAATTAGTCTTCTCTTAATTAGCTTAATAAAATGAATTAGATAATGTGAAAAAATTATATAATTAGAATTAGGTTCATATCCTATACTAATCTTATCTATATGTATTTTACTATTTTTTCAGTTTTAATTTATGTGATATTTTTTGTTTTTCGATTTAAATTCGATCGGTAATTTATATATTGAATATTTATTTTTTTGAAATGAAATTTATAACTACGTAAAAAGCACTATTAGTCACAACAACTGATAATTCAAAATGTTCAAAAGATCTATGATATTTTATGGTCAAATTGATCGACTTGTTTGAATTTCGAAATCCGAAAAGTGTTACATAAAATTGGACGGGAGAAGTACTAATTAAAAGTTTTATACAATATATTGAAGAAGATATATGAATTTTTGCCACTAGATACACTAAAATAGGAAAAGAGGCAAGCAAGATAATCATATATCTCAGATGAATACAAATCACGCTAATTACATGTATCTGAAACACCAGATACATAGGTAATGATGAGTGAGATGGAGGTGACGCGAGATAGGCAAGTGAGATTTTTTATGTATCCTAGATACATGCTATTGCACTCTGATAAGTGTATCTAAATAAATTACACATAATTTTCATCCTATGTATTCTGAGATACATGTATCTAGATGTATGTGGACACACTAAAATAAGGTAAGATTCATAATATTATAATATTACAAACTAGAATGTATCTAAGTAATTAGTTTCAAAACTAGTAAATTTTTTGTTCGTTATCCTTATAGAATAACAGGTCATTTGGTAGCTGGTTAGAGTTAAGCATATATTAGTAAAGTAAAATCAACTATGAATAAATCTATGCATTTTTTTTATGCATATATTAGTTATTTCACATTGTATCCTGTATAAATTAATATATATATATATATATATATATATATATATATATATATATATATATATATATATATATATATATATAGATTTTCTCATAACTTATACATATATTAATCACGTATATTATTAAATTGTCACCAAACTAAAAGTCATATCAATTATATAGATGAATAACTTATTTCCTATCTATCTACCAATTTTAAGTATAAAATATATAAAAGTTAATATATGAAGAATTTATTTCTTATGAGTATGATCCCTTGGCATTTAATAATAATGATGAGAAATGTACTACATCAATTTTTTTTAAATAATTATTGTTATTATTTTTTATTATTACAAAAGATTATTATAAATAAATATATAAAATAATGTGAAATTAATTTTAATACGTTTATTATTATAATACAATATTGTTATAAAAGATGATTATCACGGAAAGACCTATCTATACATAATTTTTTTGGGTAAGAATATGTAGGTTTTGTTATGTATATATTTGAGTTTTTGATTAGAATCATTTCTAAGGTATGACCTAAATTTAAAATACATTCTCGTGTTATAAAGTGAACAAAAAAATTCTTGCACTATTTAAAAAGTTGCAAGATCCATCATTTTCTCTTCCCTTTGTTATTTTAAAAAAAAATGCTTGCCACCAACAAAAATGTACCAAGTTGAATGAATATATGTAGGTATGCATTGCTAAACTAGTGAAGTTAACTGATTTTTTCAATTCCTGGGAATTGAGGGTTTAAGTCATATTCTACAAAATATATTAAAATTTTAAATACTCTTCGTAGAAAGTAAAGCCAAATACAACTCCAACTTCAAAAAGTTCAAATAAATTATTTTTTTTAAAAAAAATTCATAACTAAATGCTTACATAATTTCACTAAATTTCCAACATTTTTGCACATTGCATAAAATGTGAATTGCATTGTACATATAGTGCATATGTACTGAATGTTTTATTAAAGAAAATCTCTAAATAGTTCGACATAATATTATTAAAATGTTTTTTTTTGCATAATCTTTCTAACCAACGAGACCTACTATATAAATATTTCAAAACTTATGTGTTGTTGCAAGTCAATTTATTTGATGATGCAAAAAAACATATAAACTAACAACACACAAATTTAAATTATGAGAACGAAATATTCATTATCTATCCATATCCTTATTCTCTTTAGATAACTTTTGTCTTCTCATTGTGGCTAAGACATAATCAAGTTAAAAAAATATTTTTTTTTATTTGTTCAATCAGTTTAGTGACAAAAATAGAATGAAGGAATAACGATGATTCCTGTTACTTAATAATATATAATAATATTTTTTGCTTACTAAAATAACATAAGGATGTACATTCAATTTGAGTCATAGTTGAGAAATTGTTTTAGCCAAAATTTTATATATTTCATATAGTTAGTGATAGTGATGTGAGTCCATTATTGCTTACTTTTTTAAGTCGTTGCAATTTAAGGGTTTGGATATTCCCATTTTATTCCATAGTTCTATCGGAAGCTTTTGAGCTGTATATATGAAAGATTTTAGGTGAGGATAAAATATTGGGAAGTCTCCTATTTTTGTTGATGATAATATAAAAAAAATAAAATCAAATCTACGACATCAAAAAATTGAAACTGAGAAGGTATATTTTAGTTAATAGTTTTAGCTCATGTAGTCGAAATAAAAAGGAATATATTAATCAGGGATGTCAACGAGGCAGTGCGGAGTGGGCCAGGATGATGGTTGAGCTTAATTCAAAAAAAGGTTAATCCCTCCACTAAGCTCTACATAACATCTTTTTTCATTTTTAACCCGTCTCACCATGTCCAGCATAGATCCACCCCTTTCGCTTCGCATAGACGGCCTGCCCCACATAACTTTTTTTAATATTTTCATTTTCTAGTTAAGTTTGATACAAAAAATAAAATTTATAAAAATAAATTTATATTTGATTAAGTTATATTAATTTAATAAATAATGACTTAGAATTTTATTTTTGAATGTAAATAATGAAGCATGTAAAAAATTGTTTCAATTTTAATTGAACCATTTTCATTTACTATCTTGAATATGTTAGCAACTTTAAAGAAACTATCTTAATAAAAATAATGTTCTATCACTCTTATAATATGTAAAAAGTTAAAATTAAGTTGAACCCGCATAAAATCGGATAGACTCGCAACCCACCCCACTCCTCATTAGTTTTTCAAAAGGAAAAATTAGCAAACTAGTCAGAATCCTTAACTTAATTAGTAAAAATATCTACACTTTAAAATAATTATTGAAAATGTCAAAATGTCAATATTTTAGAAAATAATTTGTATTCAAATTTTATTTTTTAAAACAATACAACTTTGAATCAAATTCTACATCCATTACCTATTTACACTTCTTCCTATGCTTTAGTACCATTAAATTTACTCTTTCAATTTTCAATTTTTCAGTTTTCACCATTCCCATCATTCACTTTTTTTTTCTTTTATCAAAATTTCACCATTATTCTCTCTCATTGCTGAAGAAGAATTAATTATTCAAATTTAACAATTTTTTCATATCTATCAATTAATCAAGAGATCTCTCAATTGATAAAGGTATTTTTGAATTCATCATTTATTTTGCGAGATTTTGTTTTCAAAATCATACATAATGTTCAATTTTTTGGGTTGTATGTATTGAGGATTTTCCATCATTTTTTTTAATTTTTATGTGAGTTTGTTAACATATTCATCAAATATTTATGTATTTTAGATTTTTAGAGTTTAAAATAATTTTTGTCAATCTTTTTTTATGATATGTTTTTATATTTCAAATTTAGTAGAATCCACATAAGCATTTAGGTATTGAGTTATTTTGTCAAAGTATTTGAAAGTATTTTGAATTTTCTGTAGTTTGTAGTCAAATTTGTTTTTACAAAGTGAAAATCTTAATACAAATCTGTATTTGATTGTTTAAAATTGTGAATGAATACGAATCAAAGATAAACTAGTTGGTATAAACATATAATGAGCAAAATAAAATACAAAACTATTGGACTAATGCAATTAGAATGAATACACATAATGAATACATATATAAACTGTATTTTGGCTATTTATAGTTGAGAATGAATACGAAATCAAAATATAAATACAAAACTTTATGGTATACATTAGGACGACTACGAAATCAAATTTAAATACAAACTTTATGGTATTGTTATTTGTAGTTTTGATGATTTGACAAACTTAGGGACCTCATAAAGGTACAGGGTTTTCTACTTGAGTATTGCAGGTGTCTTGTTTGAAGTATTGCAGATGAAACAAACCCAGGGACCTAGTAGAGGTACCAGACTCTCATGATGATGAGCCAGTCGACTGCCAGCTGTAGACGGTACAGAAAGTAGGTGCACACTTCCCGATGGCGTCAGAAAAGTGTGACCTTTCCAGCCAATGGCAAAGAAGTTTAGGAAAGTGACTTGCCCATATAAAAGGCATTTTCCTAAACATTTGTTGTAG